CATTAGAGTGTGCACGGATCCACACTTCAAAAATCGACCTGAAATAGTACATTATCCGGAGACTTTTGGCATACTCTTTTCAACATACTATGCTTTGGGGCACACTTATTCTAACCTCACATACTATTTAGGATGGATAGTATGAACATTGTGATGCAGGAGTAGAACAAACATACTGTGGAATTTTTTTGTATATATTTATACCATATGATAAAGCCTAGTTAAGCATCATGAGACGACCAAGAGAGTGCTGATTCTCGAATATCAGCACGATTGCAGATTTGACATTGATTTTATTCACTCTATAAACGAGTGATAATCATTCACTAATCTCCGAGCAGCACGCAGCGGTGTTTCGTTACTGAATGACTCATCGCTTTTGAATTAATCATTCGAGCCCATGATTCAGTGATCCATTCATAAAGATACACTTGCTTGATTCTTGAATGAATCAGTCGTCTGAATGAATCGCTTGAACTAATGATTTAAATGTTCACTAATTAACAAAGACTATAGAATACCTGTCTTAAAGGGGTCATATGATGTTGCTAAAAAGAACATTATTTGGTGTAATGAAATGTTTATGCGGTTTAAGGTTCAAAAAACACATTATTTTCCACATACTGTACATTATTGTTTCTCCTCTATGTCCCGCCTTTCTGAAACGCGTTGATTTTTACAAAGCTCATCGGTCTGAAAAAGTGAGGTGTGCTGTGTTTGGCCAGCTATCCAGTGCGTTGTGATTGGCCGAATACCTCAAGCGTGAGACGGGAAACAGCGTCACACACGGTGGCCTAGAGTGAGCAGAGGCTGGGGGCTAGCGCGAGGAACGGCCGGAGGGTTAAAGCGAGCAGAGGCGCGGGCTTGAGAACGGCGCGGCCGACGATTTCGACGAAGGAGCATCCAGAAGGACATGTGACGACTCCGGGCTGGACTCCGCTTCATCCACGGTTAAAAGCCGATCCGGCAATCAACAGCGCAAAGTTGTAGTATTTCCTCATCGACCAGCACGGATCAGCTCCAGGCATGACGAAGCAGATATCGTCCTCTTTTGGAAGACCAAACAAAGTAGTTTCGCTCTCACAACGAAGCACACAGCGTCTTTACGATATGGCAGCGGAAACAATAAAACTACAGCGAGAATAAAAGTTACGCCTTCTTTCTTTGCATGAATATTTGGGCGGTGTTATGCAAATCTTCCCACAGAGCGACGTAGGTATGTTGGGGCGTGTTCGAACGAGCCGTTTTAGGTAGGTGTGGCTGACTCTTAACTTTTATAAAGAATATCTCTTTGGATTTGAGACTTTAGTCTTTGCAACTTTACAGATCTTCTTTATGCACCAAGAGCTTGTAACACTCCAAAGAGTAAGGAAAAATTTAAAATGCATCATATGACCCCTTTAAAGGGAATTTGCTAATTAACACAGTCACTTGACGCCACCTACTGGCGGTTTACACTCATATTTTAAACAGGGTGTCCACGGGTCCTTAAGTCTTAATGTCTTAAATAACGTTTTCCTAATATAAGGCCTTAAAAAGTCTTAATGTCTTAAATTCGGATTCGATGGGTCTTAAATATTTTGGGTCACATTACCGCTAAAATATCTTATGTCTGACGGACCTAATGACTGAATGTTTACAATCATTGGACAGACTGAAGATTTTTTCTTCCCCGCGGTAAGTTACTGCGTCATCAGAGAGAATTGCAGTAAGTTAGCAGAATACAAGGTCGTACTGAGGCTCTCTCTGTTTGTCTCTTTGTCTCGAGACTTCAGAACAAATGAGCGTAACAGCACACAAACTCAGAAGAAACACACTGAGGTAAAAATTCAGAATGTTTAGTTTATTCATAACATGATATAGTTCAGTAACACCATGACAAGTGAGCTATCTTGCTCAATATTCTCACAACGCAAAAAACATTCAAAACACCTACAGAGTGCACGCATTACGTGAAGGCTTGTGCGTGTGCGCATTTACAGTGCGCTCTTTCACTGCATGATTCAGTCTATTAAAATACATTCAGAATGATCACAAATTCAAGACATTTATACCACTTCTTATAGTTAATCAATTTCACACGGAAGAGTGCCTTTTTTTCTCTCCAAAAATTACCATATACAAATGTAATTGATAAAAAAAAAAAAAAAAATTCAACAGTTCAATAAACTAGAAGTTTTATTAAGAGACTTACGGTTTAGACACCATATTGCACTATTTCGCCAACAAAAATAATTCCAAACAAGGCCAAAGCGCTGTTTTGCGTCTTTGAGCAACATGACAGCGTTTTGTTCCTGAATGAATCAACAGTTTAAATGATTCAGTTCAATCGCAATGACTCACTTATTAAGAGTGGCTTGCTGGCGGTTTTAATTTCACATTTAAAGTATCTTTTCATTTTTTAAATCATTTCAAATATCAGTATTCAATTTTTTTATGTTCAATATATCAAATTATTTATACATTTGTAACTGCAGGTTAAATGCATTCATGTTCTGCATTAAATGGTGTGTAAATGCTTCTAAATGCCACTTCAGGTGCAGCTTATGCCTGGATTGCAAAGATGAATTTTGTTGATACTGATTTCATTTACTTGGTAACAGCCCAAATAACTTATTATTCTTATTCACTGATTAAATGTAAGAATTTGACTCAAGAGATAATGCACACTTATAGAAAAAAATGGCTTTATAAAGGTAAAATGCCCATAAAAGGTAAAAATCAATTTAAACTTATTGGAAAAGATTCATTTCTATCAGACCACCACACAGAATATGAAGAATGTGAAAAATTTAGGAGTCAGCTGTCCACGAAAGTCTTTAAGATACCAGCATGATAACACACTCAATCAGTTGAATGAATGACTCAATGACTTACCGCCACTTACTGGTAGTTTAGTTGAGAAGTATGTTGAAAAGTATGCATTTTTCCCCTCAACATTTCTTATTTGTATATTCATAAATGCATTTAAAACATTCGTCTCATAACATTATTTATTGCAGTTGTAATTATTGTTATTTGCAGTGTAAATTATTTAATCTGACTGGTAGCAGCCCTATAGTGTATATTGAATTTATTGATAAATTGTAATTTGGTTAAAAATAGTAATAGTTAAAAATAGCCTTTGTAAAGGTAAATAAAAATATGCAGATTTAAGTATGTAAAAGCTGATAGAATGCTAATGAAAATATTGCTTCAGAATAAATTGTTTACTCCACCAAAAATCTCAGTGATGCAGTTATTTTGCGGGGATATTTTGTATTGAATATTGTCTGCTGACATTAAAAGTTCACTGTATATCGTAGTAATATCATTTATTACAGCAATGATATTTTGTTTTCTTTTTAATTTAAACGCGTTAAATATTAATAATAATAATTCATTACATTTATATAGCGCTTTTCTAGGCACTCAAAGCGCTTTACATTGTCAGGCGCTAAATATTACATATGTATGTAATAAAATGTGTATTTCCATTACAGGTTTAAGTCTTTAGGTTTAGGTCTTAAATTTCATATAAGGTGGTATTAAAAAGGTCTTAAAAAGTCTTAAAATTAACTTGTTCATGTCTGTAGAAACCCTGTTAAAGTATCATTGCATTTTTTCCAACTTTTAATATTTGTATATTAAAAATTATTTAAAACACTAAGCTCATAACATTATTCATGCAATTGTAATTTTGCAATGTAAATGTAAATTCATTAATGAAATGTAAGAATTTGAAGTGAAAGATAATGCAAACATTTTGATTAGGGAAAAAAATTGCCCTATCTTTAGTTAAAAAAAAAACACCTTGGAAATCAGTTTAAAATCACAAATATGCTGATTTCAGTAAGTAAGAACTGATAAAGAAGTGATAGTTTAAATTATGTAGATTCTCTCACATATCCAAGATTGTCATCATTGCATTATCGTGAAATTGAATGGTTAATTTAATTTAATAATTTAAGTGAAAGATAATGCAAACATTTTGATTAGGGAAAAAAATTGCCCTATCTTTAGTTAAAAAAAACACCTTGGAAATCAGTTTAAAATCACAAATATGCTGATTTCAGTAAGTAAGAACTGATAAAGAAGTGATAGTTTAAATTGTAGATTCTCTCACATATCCAAGATTGTCATCATTGCATTATCGTGAAATTGAATGGTTAATTTAATTTAATAATTGAATTTAAGTTTGGGATCATTAAGATTTTTTAATGTGTTTGAAAGAAGTATCTTATGCTTACTAAGGCTACATTTATTTGATCAAAAATACAATAAAAACAGGAATATTGTAAAATATTATTTCAATTTAAAATAACAGTTTTTTTTATGTGAATACATTTTAAAATAGTACATTTTAAAATAATTTATTCCTGTGATTCAAAGCTGAATTTTCAGCATCATTACTCCAGTCTTCATTGAAATCATTCTAATTTGCTGATTTGCTGCTCTAGAAACTTTTCTGATTATCAGTATAGAAAACAGTTGTGCTTATTCTTTTTTGTTTTGTTTTGTTTTGTGGAAACCAATAATATATTACCATTCAAAAATACAATACATTTTTTTTAATACTTTTATTCAACAAGAACAAATTAAATTGATCAAAAGTGACAGTAAAGACATTTAATGATGTCTATAAATGAATAAATATTTATAATGTTACTAAATATTTTATTTAAAATAAATCAGCATTTATTTGAAATTTATGCTGAACTTTATTTATGAAATTTATGCTGAAAAGTAAAATGTCATAATTTGCACAAAAATATAAAGCAGAAATTAAATATTGATGATAATAATAAGAACTGTTATTAATGATTGAGCACCAATAATCATAACAGAGCAGAAACTCAGCATATTAGAATGATTTCTGAAGGGTCATGTGACACTGAAGACTGGAGTAATGATGCTGAAAATTCAGCTTTGCCATCACAGGAATCAATTGCATTTGAACAGATATTCAAATAGAAAAATGTATTTTAAATTCAAATAATATTTCTCAATATTACTATTACTGCAGCCTTAGTGAGCAGAAGATACTTGTTTCAAAAATATTAAAAACCTTTGACTGGTAGTGTGCGTAGTAATATATAATATATATATATGTATATATATATGTATGTATATGTAATGTATGTATGGTCGTGTATGGCATTAAACATTTTTTAAAATGGCATTAAAAAGCATTAAATTAGATTTGATGATACCTGCAGAAACCCTGTGAAAAAATACTGGAATAAGCCAAAAGCATCTTTTTTGTTTTTTCATATTCCAAATATTGTAGTAGGTTTCTGGTGGCCAGACCAACTTACTACAGCTGAAATATTGCCAATACCCCTTACTTTATGTACAGTGCACAAATATTTTTATGAAAATAATTACAATAAATCATCAAAAGTTTTTTTTTTTCCATATTCCAAAGGTTGTAGTAGGTTTCTAGTTGGCAGACTGACTTACTACAAGTGAAATTTTGACACCACCTACGTTACAGCATGTACAGTATACAAATATTTTCATCAAAATAATTACTGTAATTCACCAAAAGTTTTTTTCCCCCAACCTTTTCAAAGGTTGTGGTAGTTTCCTGATGACCAAACTGACTTACTACTGGTTACTTTCTGCCATTACCTCCTTTACTGTAGGTACAGTACACAAATAATTTTGTGAAAATAATTACAGTAATTCACCAAAAAGGTTTTTCATATTCCAAAGGTTGTTGTTTCTAGTGGCCATTTTGGTTCTGTTCCACCGCCGCCGGTACCCAAAATTTCATCAAGAAAGCAGTCCCCTCTATCTCTGGGTGTACTGTTCTGGGTCAACTAACAATGAGCTTCACGCTGCCTCCTCATCCTCGGTCACCCTCTCCTTCACCTCAGTGGTTCGAGGATGTGTCACTTCCTCATGCGGTGCCTTCCTGCCAACCCATCGCGGGATCCTCTGATCCAGACAGGCTCTCTTCTCATTCATACTGACGATTCTTTTCCTCGGTTGGGCCCTAGTGCTCCATCTCACTGCCCCTCCTCGGGCACGTCTGTGACTCCACTGGTACTGTTTGTGCAGAATCTGGGGGCCTGGTTAGCACTCCCCTGTCTGGCTCGGTGGCTGCTGTATACGGTCAGACTCAGCTATACGATTCAGTTCACCAGGTGCCCGCTCAAGTTCAAGAGTGTTTGTTTCATGACAGTATCCAATGTCAATGAAGGGTACCCTCACGCCCCTCAGGGAGATTGGCATCCAAATCTTGAATCTCAATGACTAGCTCACTCTCAAGATTTGTTGTGCCAACACTGGGACCTTGTGCTCAGTCACTTAGACCGTTTGGGACTTTGGTTCAACTGGGAAAAGAGAAAACTCTCCCCTGTGCAAAGTATATCTTTCCTCACTATGGAGTTGGATTTGGTCAACTCCCGTGGATTGTCACTCCCTTTCGAGATCAGGTGGTGAACCTGCAAGCTCCCCTGGAGGAGGCAGACCCAGCCCTCGCACTGCTGTGTCCTGTTCTTGCCCTGCGGATTTATGTGGACCATATTCAATGTTTCAGAACATCTGAGCGGCTCTTTGTCTGACACCTGACTTTGTGCTTGTGTGAATGCCTTGCTTGTCAGCCCCTGCACATGGCCTTGTGCTCCGCACTGGGATTTCTGGTTTGGTAATCTGCATTTATTTTTCCACTGTGTACCCTGTGTCTTTCCCTTGCAAATACCTGTATTTTGTTCTTCCAGTTGATAGAACGTTCATTCAGAACGAATCTGCTGCATGGTTCAGAGATTAACTTAGATGCATATAAACAGGCGGGACATAAGCTAACACTCTTGGTTGCTGCACGTCGCATAAAACATTCAAAAATGTCGATATGTGGGAGTAAGAAAAGAGCAGACACATGGATAAATCTGACGACGCAAGAGAGAACTCAATTTGGTCCGGTTTTCTGAGCGCAGACACCGAAGCATAGGCTACACACAGAAATCGCGTCTCACACAGAAATTCACGTAAACACAGTTGATTACGTCTTAAGTGAACATATACAGTAGGGAGAACGTGTATCAGTGCATTGCATCCATTGCAGCTGTGTATTCGGTTTTAAAGGGACAGCAGCTTAATTTAGTTGCTATTGTCCGAGTCATTGATGTTAATCAAGCAACAAATGAAAGACAGAAAATCACGCACTGCTCTTGACTGAAAAACTTTAGCAGCACTAAAGATTAATCTAAATTTATTTTTAAATAAATGTCTGCTTGAAAGAATGAAGAATATGGTAAACAAGTCTCTGTAAAGAATGCATAATTAGCCTATATAACCATTGGTATTTCATTAAAACGAAGACCATGTTCTTGTTCTTTATGAGAAGTGGTTTTATTTAATTTTAACATAAAGGCATGTTGTGTGTCCCTGCAGTTATATCGATGTCTATCATGATAAAACTTTAATAAACCTATATAATGAGTTTGGACATTTTAGAGAAATGCTTAATAAATGCACTGTAACTAAACCCATTAGATTTTAGCCGACTAAATTTACTATAGATTTAGTCGACTAAAATTAAAAACAATTCAGATGACTAAAATATGACTAAAACTAAATGGCATTTTAGTCAAAAGACTATGACTAAAACTAAATCAAAATTTGCTGTCAAATTAACACTGCTAAATTACAAAGATTCATCCAGTATTCGCTGCTTCATCCAGTAATGAAAGTACATCTTGAGTGAGTCATTTAATCATTCATTCATAAATTACATGTGATTTTGTTTAGTTGTCTAATGTTTTTTTTTTCTTCAAAGTCATGAGAGAACCACAACTTCCATTTGGGGGTGAGTCATTTAATCATTCATTCATAAATTACATGTGATTTTGTTTAGTTGTCTAATGTTTTTTTTCTTTCTTCAAAGTCATGAGAGAACCACAACTTCCATTTGGGGGAAAAAAAACTCAATTTATCCAGAATCATGCAGTTCTATTTTGCACTTAAACAGCTCTTAAAGAGTCCAGTTTTTATGTAGCCTGTTGATTTTTGTTCATGGTATTCAGCTCCAATAAATGGTTTGCAAAAAAGAGACACAAGATAAATGTTTGATATCATTATTTAATCACATTGGAATCAAAACTGGGAATCGAAAAGAATCGGAATCGATACGCAGAATCAGAAATGATAAAATTCAAATGATATCCAACCCTAATCTCCATACATTGTTACTGCCACCTGTCAGTTTGTATGTAGTTCTCCACATATTTCCTCCCCTTCTGGGCAGGGTGTGGCCTCTGTAGCATTACGTTTTCCCTTTCACGGGCACGCTTTCCGCAGTGCTTTGTCGTAAATTAGAGAAATCGTAAATGACTTCAGTATTTTTAGGAACCGTAAGGACTGCTCCCATGTAATCCTGTCTTGTCTGTCCCACATTACAGTAGACTGGTGATTTTCATGGGGTCCTGGGAAGGGCTGTTGGTTGTGGTGTTTTCCATAGGGAATGTAATGTCGCACGTGATTAAATGAAAGGGAAGATCTCAGTTACTGTTTTAACCCTCGTTCCTTGAATGAGAGAATGGAGATGATACGTCCCTCATGCTACAACTGCTGGCCACCTGTGGGGTGCCGGGATCCCATCTCAGCTCTACAGCTGGGAAATCTGCGGTGAGTGTGCTACCGATTTCCTTATATACCCCATGGGTATCGGAGGAGATTTGGCATGCAAATCTCACCAACCACAGTTCATTGGCTCTTTCTCTTCTTAACTGAAGGTTATTGATGCTTACAAGTGTGACCCCATATGTCAGTATCAATGTAACCTCTCTGTTCCCTCATTCAGAGAACAAGGGTTACAGCAGTAACTGAGACGTTCCATAGGTGGCGAGCGCACACTCCACAAAGTCCACAAACATTCTCTAGGATCACTGGTGGGCAGTTGTGGCCTCATCTGCTCATTAAGCCTGGCGTGTTAAAATAAGCTTTACGAGTGGTCAGGAAACAAAGTCAAACAAGACGCTTGTAAAAATCCCTCATGTGGTCCTCGAGGGATCTCCACCACTGCTCCAAGAAGAGTGCATACACGCATCTGGCAAGTCTAGATTTGTTGTGGGGTTCTGGTATTCTGTCACATTGCTGAGTAAAAACATTCACTGGTGGCTGGAATCAAAATCCAGAGAAATTTTATTTAAATCCACCAACAGAAAAATAGAGAATCAGAGGAGAAATAACACAACACTAAAATAAACAAAAATATGACTAATACCAGAACAAAGACTAAGGAGAAACTTTGAGTATAAATAGTGACACCAAACGAGGGAACAAAATAATGCAAACCTGAACTGAGCATTCATGTAACAAACTGACAAGAAAACTGAGAGGACCAAGCGTTTTAACATGCTAGAAAATCAACTGTGAAAATCGAGCATGAACCGATATGAAAAACATATCCAAAAAACAAAACTAAATAAATAAATATCAGGAACATTTAAAAAAAAAAAAAAAAAACTTTTGATGAATTACAGTAACTTTTTTTTTATAAAAATATTTGTGTGTTGTACATACAGAAAAGGAGGTATTGGCAAAATTTCACCTGTAGTAAGTCAGTCTGGCTACTAGGAACCTACTACAACATTTGTCAAATGAATAAACCTTTTTGGTGAATTACTTATTTTTTTCTAAATATTTGTGTACTGTACATACAGTAAGAGAGTTCATGGCAAAATTTCAGCTGTAGTAAGTCAGTCTAGCCACCTATTACAATGTTTGAAATATAATTTTTCTTTTTGTGAATTACTGTAATTATTTTCATAAACTTATTTGTTGTACTGTAAGTACAGTAAGGGAGGTATTCACAAGATAAGTCGGTGTGCTCACTAGGCATGTACTATAACCCTTTAAACATTAATTAGAATTAATTATTTGACTTTGTTTTGCACTGTGAGTTGAATTTGTAGACGGTCCCTAAAGCAGCCTAGGCAAATATGCAGCCAATATCAAACCTAAAATTAACTTTACAGCACTTCTTGATTTCTGTTAATAATAACAACAACAGCAAATCAGTGCAGCAGAAATCAACAGGTGTTTATGACCAGAATCAATATAAGATTTTTAAAATCCTGACTAGGCATTGGACAAATCAAGTGCTCTTGGTGTTAATCTGCTTTTGCCAAAATCCATCCTGTTAATGATGTAGAGCTCTCTTATGTGCGTCACTTATCTGTCACGCACCTATTTTTGTATTATGCACCTATGTTAAATGATTCTTTAAAAATAAGAGTAGAGGAGAAAGGGAACAAGGCTATTTAGAAGAGATTTCTGAAGCCCTTCTGTGTTTTCCTTCAGTAGAAGCTGAAACAGAACTGCAGATGCAGCTAATCGAGTGTCGAGCTCAGCTGGAACACTGGCAGGGTGTGGCGAGGATCTGCGAGCTTGGCAAACAGGAGGAGCTGCAGGAACTGCAAAAACAATGCGACCAGGAGATTCAGTCCTTGCAGGAAGCTCTGAGAGGTGAGGAGTGAGAGGGAGGGATTGAAGGAGTGTGGTCACCTAAGGTGGAGGTAAAGCACAAGTCTGTTTGGGCGTTGTTGATTAATCTTGGAACTTCTGTTCTGTGGAGAAAAACCACAGCGCGTCTTTAAAGTAGTTTATCTAAAAATGTACTGTTGTTGTCAATGTTTCATGTCGTTCCAAACCGTTTTTTCTGTGAAACGCATAAGGAGAAGAACAGTTCTTTCCATACATCATGATAGCAATGAAATTTTGTACCCAAAAGTGCAAAACGCCATAAAAAAAAACCTTTTGAAGTTGGCATGAAATGGAAAATGTCATCATCTTTTCTTAACTATTGTGACGAATAGCTTCTCTAATGAGAAAAAAATAGGATGGGACTTGACTTTGTCAATCAGGAATTGATTCAATCATTGGATTTTTGTCATTTGTTTATTTGTGAGTGACAAGTTGCTGGAGTGGAGTGACAGGTTGCTCAAGTGAGTGACAAGTTGCTAAAAGGGAGGGATTATTGTCTGTCATTCACACTGATGCACACGTCATCAGAGAAGGAAGGGAAGGGAAGTTCATGTTTTTGATGAAAGGTTATGAGGGCACATGAATTTAAAAAGACTGATGATGTGCATGGATAAATCATGTATATTACAGTAATGCTTCACTGCGAGCCAGTCATTATTATTGAATAATGACTAAATTTCAGTCTGTTCATCACGCAAAGCTTTCAGAAGACGTCTGACATAAGTCATTTTAATTAATTTTATGGTACTTTTATGAAGTTTTTTCAGCATACAGGTTTGAAACCTAGGGAGAGTAAACTTTTTTTTTTTTTTTTTATTTTCGTGAATGAACTTTTCCTTTAAATTTGGCTCGAAATCAAAACTGACCTGTTTTTTCTTCATACATTGTGGGTTATGTATATAAAATCTCTTGCCACGAATTGTGATTCCGCAATATTTTTACCCCAATTATCAAAATCCCATCCAATTACCAAGTACAATAATGCAGCAAAATAAAATACCTGTCAATGAAATAAAACTATAACAGAAAATATGTAATATAAAATATGTAAATAAAAACAAATAAAAGGGGGTGCTCAGTAAGGGTGTGCGATATATATCGTCTGCGATAATATCGTAATTGTTGTTTTAACGATGTGCGATTTGACATTATCGTGTATTTTGCAAAAACCATTCAAAACATCCCTACAGAGTGCACGCATACATTACGTCAAGTCTAGACTAGTGTGTGTGCGCATTTAGTGTGTTTTCTTTCACTGCATGATTCAGTCTATTAAAATGCATTTAGAATGATCACAAATTCAAGACATGATGGCAGAAAATTTATATATTTATAGCACTTCATATAGATATTCAATTTCACACGAAGAGTGCCGTTTTTCTCCAAAAATTACCATGATTACAAATGTGACATTGAATTCAATAAACAAGTTAATTAAGAGACTTACGTTTTAGACCCCATATTGCTTGTTTTTGCTCTATTTCGCCAACAAAAATCATTCAGAATACAGCCACAGCGCTGTTTTGTGTTTCTGAGCAACATGACGGTGTTTCGTTCTTGAATGAATTTATTTATGCATTTGTAATTGCAGGTTAAATGCATTCATGTCTTGCATTAAACAAAATACATGTGTGTAAATGCATCTAAACGCCACTTCAGATGCAGCTTCTGTGTTGATTTCATTTGCTTGGTAACAGCCCAAATGTCTTATTATTCTAATTCCCCGATTAAATGTAAGAATTTGACTCAAAAGATAATGGACACTTTTAGAAAAAATGGCTTTATAAAAGTAAAAATGCCCATAAAATGCAAAAATCAGTTTAAACTTATTGGAAAAGATTAATTTCTATTCGTATGAACTGACCACCAGACAGAATATGAAGAATATAAAAAAACATTAGGAGTCAGCTGTCTTCGGCAGTCCTTAAGGTACCAGCACGATAACACACTCAGCAAAAATCGTCTAATTATCGTTATCGATAAAATCCCAGAAAATATAGAGAGATAATTTTTTGTCAATATCGCACACCCCTAGTGCTCAGCTTAACTGTCTGTAGAGTCAGCCAGTATATTATCCAAAAAGGGACATCAAAGGTCTTTAAATGGTTACTTCACCCAAAAATAAAAATTGTCAATAATTACTCGCCCTCATGTCGTTCCAAACTCGTAAGACCTTCGTTCATCTTTGGAACACAAACTAAGATATTTTATGAAATCTGAGAGACATTACCACAAATTGTGCAGACACAGGAACCACGTTTTTCCTGAATTTTCTTAATGATAATAATACATTTCTTAATTCTGGTTCCACTGATTTCTAAAGATTTTAAAGATCTTATCATTAAAACAAATCAAGCTTATCTGTTTTCGTGATTTAAAACTATGAAATGTGAAGGTATATTCAGATCCATCTTTAGGTTTTTGTAAAGAACACATGCTGGGTTGTGATTACTTGTTGACATCTTATCATCAAGCCTCTCTTTTTCCTCCGATCTCCTTTTTTCTTGTTCCTCAAGCTTCGTTTCCATTAGAGCTTGCTCTCTTCTCATTTTCTTTTCATCCTGCAACCTACGCCCTACATGTTTCCTTGAGTGCTTCTTTAGCCTCTTCTCCAGAACAAACTCTTGTTTGCCACATGTTTTGCATGGAAACATCCTCTTCAGATTTTTAGTGCTTGATGTTCCACGGTCAGAGCCTGAGGTGTCAACCAAAATGGTTCAACCATAATTTTATGAAGCTACGAGAATACTTTTTGTGTGCAAAGAAAACAAAAATAACAACTTTATTCAACAATTTCTTCTCTTCCGTGTCAGTCTTCGACGCACGTTTACGACAGTACCACAGTGCATGCGTGTGGTGCTGCAGACGGAGGAGCTGGCGTTCTGACATAGAACGTCCATCTCTCTCTTAGTTCATCGTCTGTATACTCTGGTTAAAATAAGTAAGGCTGGGCAAAAAATTGCAAGTAATCCTCTCTGGAAATCTTCAGACATGTTTACGAAGACTGTTTTATGTACAGCATGCGTCTTCCTCTGCTTGCAAACAAGGCACAGTGCATGAGCGTTCTGCGTCAGAATGCCAGCTTCAGCATCAGCAGCATCACACGCATGTGTCGTGGTACTCCCGTGAACGCATGTCAAAAACTGACACGGAAGAGAAGAAATTGTTGAATAAAGTCGTTATTTTTGTTTTCTTTGCGCACAAAAAGTATTCTCGTAGCGTCATAAAATTACGGTTGAACCACTGATGTTACATGGACTATTGTAACGATGTTCTTACTACCTTTCTGGGCCTTGAACGTTTCAGTTGCATTGCTGTCTATGCGGGGTCAGAAAGCGCTCGGATTTCATCAAAAATATCTTAATTTGTGTTCAGAAGATGAATGAAGGTCTTACAGGTTTGGAACGACATGAGGGTGAGTAATTAATGACAGAATTTTCATTTTTAGGTGAACTAACTTTTTAAGGAGCCTGTGAGTGAGAATCTGATTTTCTCGAGCTTTATATAAGTAAACACCTCTTTAATTCACTAATAGGTGGGGGTGA